ATTGCTGACTGTCAGTTTCGCTCAAGTCAAGTACAAAAATAGTTGGTCCCTCTGACAAAACGAGGGGAGCCTTTGTCGATGTACTCCTTTGGCGATGGGGATTTCGCATATCTTTTGGTAGTAAACCATTGCACTTTGTGCAGATAGGTCTCAGATCCAGGTGATGATACCTGAAGCTAAAGGGCACGAAAAACGGTAAGGAACAGGCAAATGGGTAACTAAAATGACTGAAACCTTTCAAAAAATCATTTGAGAAGTCGTCTGTTCTGCGGATGTGACCTCTGTGTTTACCAGTGCTCTAGTGTGATTATCCTACTGCCCGATAGTTCGACCGTCGATTTCGACGATGTCCACGGTATGCCCCACAGCAGATGGTGGGAGCAAGGACGGTGACTTGCACAGGGGTTTATAGTGCCGATAGACTTGCGCTGCATCTACCACACTCTCTTTTCCTCCACCGCCTGATCCCGGCGTCAAGACAGATCCAAGAAGACCGGGGACGAGAGAGGCTGCAGGTAGATGGCTTAAACGGATCCTCACCTTGGCGATCAACTACGCATCCCCTTGTCCACACAACAAATGACCAGGATTTTGACCCACAAAACAAAGGGGTGATGTCAGTGGTTCAATTTTGCGACGACTGTCGACACCAGGGTCTGCAAGCGCACCCCGCTGATGTTGGCATTTGTTATTGCGCAGAGATAACGCCTGCCAGAATCCGATGTGGTCCCCGTGTTGGTCCAACGCATCTAACACGTGGTCCGTTTGGGGGGCACATCCTAATATCCACTGTTCATTTGGCCTGATGACGGGTTGGTGGAACCAGCTTGAAAATTCACGAATTTATCTCGGTTTTCCGACGAGCCTTCTCCTTTTACAGTTGATAGTACGTTTATTTGCAGGAGTCAAAATTCCATTCACATCAAACGACGAGCAGTATCTCACAGTAAGTAAACGTCTCTGATGAATGGCATCCACCGGGTATCAAATTGCGTGGACTGACCACTGTATAAGTAGTTTTTGCTTTTATATAATATTAACTAACATCTAATGATCAGCAGGCGATTTGACGTCAAGAACATCTTGTAGGGCATTAAGATAATCTTACTTAAATCAAGGAGCCTGTTTCCACTTACCGAAGCCTCGGCTGGAATGTACCCCCAAAGAGCATAATTAATTCAGTCAATTTTCGGAGGCTAGCTGAATTTCTACGTAAGCCTCTTGACGGCCAAACAAGACGTTCGACCTGGTGGATTCTTTGACCGAAGGTGACAAAGTATGCACCTGGGTCACTCAAGGTCTGCTTACCACAGTTCAGGCAATTGCAAACTTACTCGGCTTTCAGATTTTTGGCGCAAATTTCGCACCGAAAGTGGTCTGGACAGAAGAATTTATTGGCCCACTGGATGAATTCCTCGAAGAGTGGTTCACGACAGTCATGGCAGATCTCCGCGGTCTGTTGGCCAAAGTGGGGACGACAGTAGAGCAGACCCGATTTCACATAAAAGCGCTCTCCGCTCAAGACGCTGTTGCACCTGGTGCAGGTCAGATGCTCGGGATGCCAGGCTCTGCCAAGGGCGAAGATAGCTCTGCCGTCGATTGGATGACTAGAATTCACCACGATGTAGGTGAAAGGTGGTGGTCAAATGTGTCACAATGCTTATATTTCTTAGCTGCAAAAATAAAATTTATCTCAAAACCGACAGTCTAACTGGAAATTTAAGGTTGAGTCAACTTTCATGATAATGGCCGCCGAGTAAAGCCAGGAGTTGATAATTCCAAGTGAATCGACTCAGGCCAAAGTTCGTCTGATAAATTTACGGGACTATGTTAACACACGTTGCATTTCCTGTACTAGAGGGGATATGACAGCACATCGCAAATGACCCTGGACGTGTTTACTCATACACGGTCGTTGGAAGACCACACCGGTACACAGTCTGCCCAAGAGCAGCTATATGGCTCTACTGAGCACCAGTGGTCATCCGCCTCGCGCATCCTTGAAGCTGTTCGGTGACTATATGGTGAATACGGCTCCCGATAACCATATACTCATTTACTTTCAATCGTCCTCAGAGATGGTTCACTCACAAGGGAGGTCGCCACTCAAATTTTTGGAACTCGCCGTTGTTACAAAGCACACTTGACGGCTTTAGATCCCAACTTTTGATGCCTGATCCTGCTATTTACTTATTCTTATGGCCAGGCGAACAATCTCTGTCATTAACTGCTTAGTCAGCGAGTGCAGATAGTATGGAAACGAAAACAATAATTTCGCCGTTGTAGAGTACTTTGATGCCTATCTCGTTGCCCAGAGAGCATTAAGCACACCGCGTGAACGAACGAAGAAAAGCCCATCCTTTTAGCAGAGTTAGATATTTTAACGCAAAAGTGGTTTTTGCCAATGCAAGACGGAGAAGCTACAGGATACGATGTTACTTATCGATAATCGACCTTAGTGCATGTTTGCTGAAGTTGTGTTGCTTTCCGGAGTAGATGGACTCAAGTAATACAACCGAGTCTTCTTTTGCCTTTAATTATGAACCCCACTTTATACAAGAGACCCTCACTGTCTGTGTGACGCGATTTGACTGGAAAACGGTCTCGGAACAGACAACTGACTATCGTGCAACTTATTTCCCTTTCGGCACACTATGATACCGCGTAAATCAGTTGCTAAGGGCAAAATGAGGCTGCAGCTGTCCATAGACCGAGAGGCAAGAGTGGCGTGTACGGAGGTCGTTGGTCAAACTGATGGACGTTTGTGGAGGGGAAGGAACGGGATATCACAATTAAATCAATTCCAATAATTGTGCAGTTAATAAAGACAGCCAGTCCGTCGTGCCTAACTTTGGGATGATGCTCTTGCCCGTCAGTCGGTCCTTGCTTAACCGGAGTGTCCGTAGGCAATAGATATTGGAAGGGCCTTCAGTGCGAGTGTGCGGTGAAGTAAGAAGACTTACGTCTAAGGGACACTGCTGACAAAAACAGAGGCGACTGCGAGGGCCGTTTCTGGCCGCTGCTGCAGCCGCCGTCAGCCAGCCCTGCCCAACCTCAAGTTTTGCGATACCTGCGGTTCGAACCCGCGTTCTTCGATCGTCGAGCACTCTTAAGTCCAACGATCTACTAATTGAGCGACGAACTCATCCTGTCGATTGCGATCGGGAATACTGACTATGTTGGGATTATGTTTTTCGATCAGGTTACGAGATTTGCTCATCTAGTTGCGCTTTGAAGTTCGCTCTAGAGCTCCGCAGGCAGTCGCACCGCGACTGGTAATGGGATGGTCATTTCTGGCCTACTAGCTGTCGTCATCTGAACTTACATCGGAAAAATGAACAACTGTGCGCAAACAACAAGATGGTTAACATTATTTGGTGGTCGGGTTCTGGAAAAATAAGTGCCCTATAAAGTGTCAGGCAACGATCGGGTGAAGGACCACGAACACACACGACCAGCCAAAGGTGCCTGTTTTACGGGAAAGGTGGTAATGGGGTTTTTACGGGCGGGACCTTTGTATGCATAGAGGAATGGCAACATAAGTAGAGATAATTGGTAAATTCGTTTTTCTGGCGGAAACCTTTAAATGCATTGACATATAGCAACGGAAATTAAGCAAGACAGTTGAAAATCAAACATTAAGTGTCTACAATGATCGCTTCTCAACTCTGTGAGCTGAAGTCTTTGTACATAACGCACTAACCCGTCTACAACAGGTGGCCCAACCTTGTGCGATGAAACACCAAACTGAAATAATCGTGTCGGACTAAAACCCACTTGAATAAGTAAAGTAGGTATTCTTTGTATGCCACAAATGCTTGGATGCCTTCCCCCAATCCTTACCAAATTTAAAAGTCTGAAAGGGCCGGTAGAACGTGGCGAGCACGGACCTCCGTTATGAACGTCATAAAAAGACCAAGATTACATAAATACTTGAGGAAGCATGGGTGGTGACGACTTGAGTACACAAAGAGCTGTTGCCGGCGGCAAGTCAGTGAAGCAGAAACATCTTATCCAGCTCCTAAGATTCTGTCTGAAGACGTACTCCACTTCAAGGGGGCCATGCACGAGCAGATTGATGGAATGCCAATGGGATCCCATGCTGTAGGGCTTCACGCCGAGGCAGTTCTCCAAAAGCCAGTAATCCTAGTTTATGCAACCTACAGGCAAACGTTTTGAACTGGACGCGTCGACGATACCTTCGTCATCATCATATGAGAAGCGGTCGAAAATATCATAACGCCCTGAAGTCTGTTTCCCTGGACAATGGAGGTGGGAAGGAACAAGCAACTGCCGTTCCTGGGCGTTTTTATTTATCGAAAGCCCAAAAACGACGATGTATAGGAAGGCCACAAACGCACGCCAAGTCCGAAGTTACCGCAATAAGCACCCGTTATGTCACAAACGCAGTTGTATGTGAACTCTTTACAGAAGGGCAGAACCCCATTGCAGAGAGCTAGACGACAAAGGGAGAGAAATCCACAACCTTCAGCGTCTCTTGATGGCCAACGGATACTCCCGTAGCTTTATTGAACGCGGAAGGGAGTTCGAGCCAAGCCAAAGTCCAGTGACAGAACAGCCAAAAGTCTAGCGCGCGCTGTCATACGCTGATGATGTTTCTGGGGTAGCTTTCCGCCTCATTAAACCGTTGGGGATCGGGATAGCCCACTGACCGAAGTCAGCTATACGACATGCAATCATGAGACCTAAGGCCCTCTTCCGCGAGGTGAAAGGGTACACGTCATCCACTCGGTCCTGTGTTACTCCTAGGAAGATAACTACACTGTGATGACCGACAAATGATTACAAACCCGTTTTAACGAACACATGCTCTGACAGAGGAGAATGGATCAATTTACTCTGATGCCGGGACACTGCGTAGACCCTGGGCACACGTCCGTCTTCCAGGACGCTGATATTCTGGATCGAGGAAATGACCGGGTAACAAAGTAAACAATCGAGACCTAGCACACAGAGGCTACCTCAATCAACTGTTGTGTTGCCCTTCAGGGAGCCTACCGAATCCTCCGGAAGCATCAGCAAACAAGAAGATAAGTCAAACGTGAATCCAAACACGAGAGAACCTACTACAGACATGCACGAAGCCATACCACAACCCGGGCCCGACGAAAAGGTAGTCCTCAGTACTGTTGCATCAGCCACTACATCGGCAGACGAGGAAAAATGCAGTCAGAGGGACGCAAACAAAACAAACAACCCAGGACGGCAACTAGGGACATTACGAATGCAGATGATGGCCGCCAACGTCTAAACACCGCCCTCCAACCAGAGATATGCTGACTGACAACAGTCACCCGCCTTCCCCCTCGGTCTCGCACATGCTGGTGATGGGCGCCAAAACAGATTTAGGCCTCCTTCCATGTCGCCCTTCCTGCAGTGTCCAATTTTAAGATAAAATCATATACCTAAAGCCGTGTTAACATGACTGTCACTCTCTGTAAGCACTGAGACGCGGTACGATACTCTGACGATGGAAGCTTGCCTGTATTCGAAACGTCAGGACAAGAAAATTGGGGTTCCGGGATCGCCTTATCTTCTCATATGTGCATATGTATGTAGATATATATTCCTTTTGAGTTGTTAGTTTCGAGTTGAACAAATTTAACCGGTAAGGGCGTTAAGGCCGCATATATTTCCGGGGAATAGACGCAAAAAATCACAGCTTTATGTTTTACCTCGGTAAAACTACACTTTTATCAGCAATTCGGTGTGATTTGGCTCTTCAATAGTTGTATTTGACGCACCACCCCTTGAAAACTTGACGCAGGCCGACTAAATAAACAACACTGGTGCAACTGGAACACAGTTTTGGCACCACCCATGGGCCGTGCACGCTGGGTGCATGCGTATCATTTCGCTCATCAGCGAAGGTGTGTGTTGGGTGTTTGGCAGACTGGTAAGGAAGTAGTAAGATTGAAAAAACAACTATCTTGAGCTTCTCAGTGTTAGCTGTCACTTCCAGGACTCAGTGAATCTCAGGATCAGTATGCTGGTCGGCCGAGAGCCTATGCTCTAAGTGACTGGACAAAGTGGGCGGAAGGGTTTCGGTATCGGCACACTGGCGGATACCGTAGAAGGTAATCACTTGGTGATAACTTCGCAAATGCAAGTGTAAACTAAGTGCCTACCAAAAACTTCTGTGTATTCACAGAACACCAGAACTCTATATCACGAACCTTGCAACACAAGCCCACTAAAGGAGAAACGTGGTAATATTGCTGGCGTTCTTATTCCTCTATCATACCCCATGGCACTGATAAACTTGTGGTTTATCGAAAAAATGTGCACTGCCGGTGGCATTTGTAACAAGAGTCACAAGGCAACGGATATTTGGGTGCCCTCTCCCGATTTTTACCGAGTCCTTCGTGCTGACATCATTGCAGTCGAAATTCAAACAAAGTAGTCCTTTGATTGGAAAGTACTGGTGGCTTGAAATAATTCAGTTGAAAGGGTTTCAAATATTCTGCAGATGAACCACTTATTGTTCAAGAAACCGAACGAATGAAGCAGATCAGGCCAGGTCGTGGCTGAAAATTCTGGTATTTAAGACAGTATTTAGCATCGCGGCCATGAAGCTCGCACCAGGAGGACTGGGGACAGCGCAGAGACATGACTGGAGACTCTGCAGGCAGGAAACGCTCACAAAAGAGTCAGTCATCAATAGGGAGAAGTGAGTCGCAGTTTACGGGCTTCAGTGCAGTTGTGGATACGGACAGACCTAAATTGGCTGATAGTATCGAAGTTGTACTATAACCTGTAGATGGCAAAACACGCAAACCAAATAGGCCATGATTTCAACCTCGACGGGGTCGAGGTGGTGGACAAGGGTTAGTCAACCGACCCAAGTTAATAATCACATCGAGCTGTCCGCGGTATACCTAACGCTACACCGTTTTCTACAGTAAATGTGCTGCCTTATGAAATATTGACTAAAATTCTAAGATGCGCTTTCGACCCGAAAAATTACTCAAGTATGGTTGTAAAATTTATTATTGTGCAGCATAATCCCAGGATATTTCACTTACTACGGGATGCCGGCTTTTGAACGAACTTCTTTCCGACCACCTGCGAAAAACTGAACTCTGTAACAATTTGCTATTTAAGTAACACGAATTTTTCTCCCTGATTCCCGATGTCCTTATAAATTCAAATATATTTCCTAGAAATCATGCATAAAATATTCAATTTTCTGTTCATTGGGTAGCACAGTACGTCCTCTTCAAATTTTATACTTGAAGGAAGGATGTGAGTCGGTTTTAGGAAATTTCTAATTATGGGATTTTTAGGACCGTGAAACGCCCGTTCATAAAACGTCGTTTCTCTGCATTTACTAACGGTGCTCGTAAAGTTTACAATATGGCTCAAATTCACTGTTAAATGTTTTGAATCTCATATGCTCTCCTTTTAATACATATGGATTTGAGCCATATTGTAGACTTTATAAACGACAAGCCCACACGGCAGTTCGGCCATCGGGAACAGTGGTGTCCCCAATGTGTCCCCTAGCATCGCGGGCGGAAGGACGGTGACTTGCGCATGAATTAGTTTATTGTGAGGAGGGACTTGCGCTGCACCTGTCGCACTCCCACCTCCACTAAACACATGAAACCGGAGTCCGTGTAGTGCCAAGTAGACCGGAAGTGGAATCAGACGCAGTGGCTGACAAAGCTGAACAGTCTATTTACACCCGCCGCACACCCCTGGTCGTGCACGATGGGCCAGGTGTTTGCATAAACAAGAAAGAGAATTCACACATGGTTTATTGAGTTACTGCCACCTGGCGACAGTCGGCGCTACCCGCGGTACCAGGAACACTGACACCAGTCCAAGCGGCACAACCAAATGCCAAAACGGGCACAAAGTCCTTACAGACAGGACTGTCTGCTTTCCACGGTACACAAGCCACCTTCCAGAAGAGATTTACACCGTCCCAGCCACCTGCACAATAGCCGATTCGGCGAGACGCAAGGTACCACGCACGGAGGACAGTGAGGTTCGCAGCTCTTCCCAGGGTGGCATTGGGCAAGCAAGCCCCTGTCCAATGGGGCGTACCGCTTGCTTAGCTCATGATGCCAAAACCGTTAGCTGAAACGTCAGTATGAAACCCTCCCGAGGAACGTCTTCTTCACGTTCGGGTGACCTGGTCGTGAATGTCGCATTGCTGAAGGCATGGGTAGAATATGTCACCTAAGCAGATTTGTTTCGTAAATCCAAAAAAGGATGGCCGATTAGACCCGTACGTTTAAGTTGCACTAGGTGTAGCTGAAAAAGACTTACTGACAAGCATAGCAGGTGCGAATGTCCGCCTTGAGGAAGCACGCCGGACAATAGAGCTTTCCCCTGAAGAACTGTCCATCGCCCAAGATTGGGTCATCGCACGCACAACAACTAAAAAAGGAAAGGTGCAGTGGATAGACCATCCCATGAAATGTTGGCCGAAATTCTGAAACGCACTTTAGATTAGGAAGGATCACTTAAGTGGCGTTTCAATACTGACTATCTTGCAGCATAATCCTATAGGATTTTGGACTCGCTAGAATGTCGGCTTTTGAATGCACATCTTTTCGACATCCTGTAGAAACTGTGCAAGGTAAAAATGACTACTTAAGAAGCACGCATTTTTCACATTGATTTTCGATGTTGTTATAAATTCGAATATATTTTGTAGAAATCATGCATAAAATACACATTCTTTTGCTTATTTGACAGCAGACTACGTCTTCTTCAAATGTTATACTTGAATTAGTTCTTAGGAAATTCCTAATTATGAGATTTTTTAAGACCGTATGATGTACATTCATATAGCATCGTGCCTGGCCGTTTATCACCGCTCCTCATGAATTGTACAGTCTTGTCCGCATCCATCGCAAAATGTTATGTACCCTATGTGGTATCTTTTTAAAGGCATAGAAGAATATATGATTCCCTTACGCGGAAAGCATGCACCTTGTAGACTGAAGTCGTTGAACGCTAATGCAACCGTTGATCAGACTCCAAATTATTCGGGAATTAGAAGACTTTTTAAAACCTAATTGTGCATTTTATTCGAGCATACAATGCAAAGATGACTTGATTGTCTATTAAACGAGTAAAGACATATTTTCGTGCATGTTTTTGATAAAGTATGTTCAAATTTTTAAGACCATCGAAAATCAATGTGAAAAATGCATGCTTATTGAGTAGTCATTTTTACCTTGCACAGTTTCTGCAGGATGTCGAAAAGATGTGCATTCAAAAGCCGACATCCTAGCGAGTTCGAAGTCCTATAGGATTATGCTGCAAGATAGTCAGTATTACAACATCACATAAGTAATCCTTCCTAATCAAAAGCACATTTCAGAATTTCGGCCAACATTTCATGAGATCGTCATTTATTGCAAATGCGTTTCATTGAGTGGTGTGGTCAATCAGTTGTGGAAATCAATAAGTAATGTGTAACTAAAAAGTTCCATTTCGCATTTTAAAATTTCGTCTACTGAAATTGACATTGGTTTGATACTCCTCAAAAGAACGGGTTGAAAGAATCGGGACTGTACCTAAGCATTGCTCCGACAATTCCACTGCATTTACGTTCAGAAATTTTTGTATACTTATACGATTTATTTTGAGTCGCGTTATTACAAATTACAGTCACTTAAATGTCCTCGCTGTCAGCACGGGTTAAAATACAACCAGTTTGTTGCTATCTCTAGGTGAAAGTCTACGGAAAGTGAAGGATAAATAATTTTTGTTTATTCCACAGGAAAAAAATGACGACTTCAGTATGTTTTTCAAAATTGGTTATTCGCCTCTTCCCATAATTTTGGTCTGCTCTATCAGAATAGGTAGTTTTATGAAAAACAGTCTAATGCCCCCGTATAGATACTCCGTTTCAGAGATGTCGGTTTTGGCATACAAATTATTAAAGACCGCTGATTTGATAATATGACTGAGAAGTGAGCAGAATGTAGACCCATAGTACAGGGTTTGACGTTTAATTGACTTAAACTCAACTAACAGCTGATTGCATGGATGTTTAATCAGATAAGCCGGAGCTAGTTGTTAATGCCTTCAAGGAAGTCTCCAAAATAAATATCGATCACTGGGTATATTTTGAACGTGTCATTTTTATTGCATTTCCCCTTTATATTCAGCATCACAAGACACTGGTCATTTTCCCCACGGATTTTCATTTAATACGTAGTTTACGGATATTTTAAGAAACCTGCTGTTTCGCATGCATCAATACTGCTAAGTTCTATTACAGCCTCCTCACAGAACTCTGGATATACAATAAATCGAAGAATGCTTCTGTTTGCTGTTTACGTAGTCGCATTCCTTCACTACCTCTAAACGGCTACATTTCTTTAGCTGGTAACAATCGGGAAATGGCACCCAAAAAATCCGCCTAACCAAAGCATCCCTCTTACGGGACAGGTGGTAATAGGGGTTTTATGGGTGGTGGCTGGTCCGGATGTACGATACAAGCCGACGGAAAGCCTTATTTGAACAGGTGAATGATCGAATTTGGCCCGCTTTCCTTTCCGTTATAACAAAATGGGTCACCAAAAGCAGCATAGTGATAACGGACGAGTGGAGGACGTATAATCGTCTTCCCTCAGAAAGTTATCTGCATTTCTCTGTTAACCACTCAAAGAACTTCAAAGACCCTACTACCGGACGGCACACCGATGCCATTGAGGCATACTGGAGTAGACCGAAAACGAAACTCTACTAGGGAGGCCCTGTATTTGGTCGAGCTGTGTGGGCCCACATAGCCGAAGTACAGTATCGTCTTTGGTTTGGCCTCAATATCATGTCTTTGACAGATGCCTGGGAAATGTTCCTGTCCCATGTTGTGCAGACTTATCTTATTTAAAAGTGATTTTGTTTTGTAATAAACTGCCATAGTGCGAATATATGCAGTATATTCAGGTGTACGTGTGTAACGATGGGGAAGGTTGGGTAACAGCGACCATCGTCCATGAAACCTCCTGCGATGTTCGTTCGGCCAGCCCATGTAAGGCCGTCGCGAAAAGTCCAATTTGTGCGCGAAAGTCGGCCTGCAACCGCTGATATAGCCTGCAGGCGTTTGAGTTTACTTTTAAAGGTATTATTTTTAGTCAACGGATTTTTTTGGGTGCCATCTCCCGATTGTTACCCTTTTGCATTGAGCAACATCCGTTCTCCTCTCCTGTTGTTCATACAAACACCTGTAAATTTTGGTGTTTCACAAATTTTCCGAAAAAACAAGACGTTCTCCTCTTAGTAAGCCGAGCTTTTCCGATTTCTAATATGCGACCTATATTAAGAAGGGTTAAACATGAGTGAAGTGAGAACCCTTGCATGAGCGTGCTTTTTTGTTCCTATTGCAAGTAAGTGTCGAAAAATCGAGAGTAATATCTTGACTAAATTCACACAACCAATTTGTCAGAAGAAGTCTACTACTCGACTGCATACCAGCGCTGCATGTACGTCAATCAGTGAGCAACAAATACTAATCACGAATGTTATGCACATGTTTTTTTGAAACACATCCGTGCCATCAGACGTTCCAATATTTCGGAGACTAATGTGCCCAAGTTTTGGCAAATGACCCCACTTAGCTTGTTTTTGTGATGTAAAAGAATAACTCGAGAAGAGGTCCACATCTAGTTATTTGCAGAAAAGCCCTGCGGAAAAGGGCCTTTTGCAGCCCTGGGTGAAGGATCGAAGTAGCCAATCTGATCGGCATCGTTCCGTATCCCTTCTAGTCAGTCCTGGGGGCCATTGCTTTGGATTCCCAGATGTAGGCTGAAAAAGGGCTTTTTTCTTAAGGTATCGTCTTATACTGCTAAGACTAGGCAGTTAATTTAACACCGCTAATAAAGTCTGCCTATACCATTTACCCCAAAGAAACGTTTACGTATGAAGAAAGTCATTTGCAGAGATGATTGCATAATACGATAAAATCAACAACTTATTTGTGTTGAGATTTTAGTCGACTTCTCAGAATTTCGTGTCGTGTACAATATGATGTACATGCCTCCTTTCTCCAGGCTATCTAACTCATGATGCTAACCGAAATTCTGAAATGCGTTTTCGACTCGAAAAGACTACCTAACTAGAGTTGTAACATTAATCATCCTGCAGCACAATCTCAAAATATCCCAGTTATTACAGAAATCCAGCTTTTGAACGAACTTGTTTTTGGCCGCATGCAAAAACTAGACTCAGTAAAAAACGACTATTTAAGTAGCACGTATTTTATCATTGGTTTTCGGTGTCCTTGTAAATTCAGATATTTCACATAAAAAATTTACAAAATATGCATTCTCTTACTCATTTAGTGGAAAATTATGTCCTTTTAAATTTTATAATTGACGGAAGAGCAAAATCCGGTTTTTTGAAAACTTTCCCAATTGCCGAATAATTTCGAACCCAACCTGCCGTTACACTGGCATTCGGGATTTCTGGACTACAAGTTTTATATTCTCTCCGTACGGAATATCAGGGGCTTCCGTATGCCATTACGAGGAGACCATATAAGGTTCATAAAATTTAGCAGTGGATTTGACCCATATTGTAAACTCCACGAGCAGCATTAGTAAATGCAGAGACATGACGTTTTAGGAACGCATAATTAGAAACTTTTCTAAAACCGTATTATATACTTCTTTCAAGCATAAAATTTGACGGAGTCATATTTTGCTACCAAATGAGCAAAATAATAAATATTTTATGCATGTTTTCTATAAAATATATTCGAATTTATAAGGGCATCCAAAATCAGTGATAACAATTCATACTAATCGAGTAGTCACATTTTACGGAGTATAACTTTTGCCGGGGGCTGAAAACAAGTTCAATCAAAAACCGACATTTCAAAGAAAATGAAATATCTTGGGCTATGCTGCACGATGGTCAATATTACAATCCTGGTTAAGTAATCTTTTCGAGTCAAAATCACATTTCAGAATTTCCGTCAGCATTTCATTAGTCAGCACATCTACTGTAAATAGTCTATTTTGTAGGCATCTGCTTCGCCTGCTAAACTATCGAATTGCTCTGTTAGCGACCTTTATGTTTGACAGAACACCATAATATTCCGGGACATTATGTCAGCTGCACCATCTTGGCAGCATAGCTTCATATCATGATGACTAATGCCTCGGCAGACATTCCCGCACTATCCAAATTGTCGGATATCCTAGTTGGTGTCCGCCTTTCTATGACATATTTTTTATCATCAAAGGCGAATATCGCATAAATCTCATGAAATTAGGATCTTCCAAATTGGACGTGTGTTTACCAACTGACAGGCAAGAAACAGCTTACGTTGCTTGAAGTTGGTTGTTTTTTTGCGCACGTTGTTTACTTTAAAAGTAAATAGCCAATTATCCGATAGAATCTTCCCTACTTTGACCCATATTGACGGCACGAAAGTTTTGTGAACACTCTTCGGGCAATACCCCTTTCTTTTTAATGCTGCTCTTTAACGACCGGCGTTAGCTTCATATCCACGACCCTTCCTCACACATGGAGAAAATAAAACTAAAGCTGTTGACTTTGTCGGCCGCTGAATTTGGAAACATAAACTGTTCTTTATTTCCACTCTATTTAAATGATAAATACCTTAAGTGAATGATGCTCCTCAAGAGTAAGTCGCCTTGTCCGATTAGCGTCCGAATGCGATTCTGAATCCTAAACTTTGGAGTTATGTAACTGTGCGATCTTCAACAATTTCTGTGATGGTCCTTCAGGCATCAAATCCGAACATACTATTCGTTGTTATCAGCTGAACCTTCACCTATGAACTTTGCCTAGCATATGCTTAAACTATAAGAGTTTGGCCTGTTAATAAATTCGCAAGTGTGTGGACTCCTAGACACGCTATCCGGTGCGAAGTCGATTGTCAAACAGCACTGTTAGTAATGTGGGTATCGGACATCAAAAGCTTGATGTACGCTGGCCCACATACAGGCGATGCTCATATATTTGTGCCTTAAAGCTTGAAACAGTATCTTTCACTGTGGTCTACCAACAGGTGAATGACAAAACTATATTTTCTCCGGACTGTTTTGAAAATTGGGAGGCGTGAACTCACCGGTCCTCGAAAAGTCCCGTATACTCGTCTACGGGCTGTCTATGATCAACCAGATGGCCCCGACTTCCTGACCTCGTAAACAAATTAGTAAAGGCCGCTGAAAACTCATCTAGATCATTGATGCGGGTGCCCTTTGCAGTCCCCTGAATGGAGGCCTGTTCCGCAACCTTCAGTTCCTGCTCCAGTTCGCGAAGAACCCGAGAAAAGCCGTGAGACCATTTTCGGTAATCGGTACTGCGACCAGCCTCGGAGCTCATCAGGCAACCGGAGGGTACGGACGCGGCTGCCGGCTAAGTGAGCCGAAGAAGTGACCCCGATCCGTGATTTATTCGCACGGCCCATTCGCGTAATCCTGCTAACCGAGAGTTTTTAATGATTGGCTGTTCCTAAGGTCATTAAAAGTGTTTCCGTCGTAATGAAATAAACTAGACGCTGACATCTTTGAGGTCGAATGAAAAGTTTATGACTTAAAAGTACAGTATTTATTTGGAACATCTCAAACATTTAAAATCACACTAGATTTCCGACTTTACAACTTTGTGGCGTATTTATTCCTTTACATTTTATGTGTTCTCAACTGTATTGAGTCTAGAGCACTAAGAATAGTAGGAAATGATTTATTTTTCTCACTCAATCCCAAAACCGCCTCTGCCTGCAATTTAACTATTTCTTTAATTAAGACGTAAAGTTGATACATTTTGCGCATTAACATGTTTTGCACTTTGACTATTGACTCTATGAAGTACTTCATCATTCATTCACCTGGTGAGACCAGAGATGTAGAAAGATTCCTTGAGAATTCTTGCATAAGAAGGACGAGTAAATATTTTGCTCAGCAGTCTGGAGAAATATGTGAGGTTTCTGCTTGGGTCTGACACTAGTAAATGATAGTAACATGTTAATTCTTCGAGCCTCTAAAGAAATCATCCTTATACGGTCCTTCCTCAAACCGGAGTGAACATTTAAAAAGTGAATTTTCTCTTTAAGAGGCGTTTTATTAGAAGAGAGGGCGCCGGAACTCACGAATAGTTTGAATGACCTCGTTAGCTGCTATTTTAACTGGAAGAGACTATCTAGGCAAGGTTACAGACTGTTCACTAGGGAAGGTAAACCCAAGTCACTTTCCGTACAGAGGATGCTGGTTTTGCAATGAGAATCTTTCCCATTATCTCTGTACAAAACCCCTGGGATAGAAGCCCCATTTAAGCAAAATTCGATTTTTCACTGATGTTTGAGGTTATTGTAACTTTGGTCGTCCACTTCGGAGAAAATGGAAGAAAATGTTTTGTGTTCTCTTTTTATAAAAGATGCTAATCTCTCATGATTAGATATTTAGAGCAGGCATTCTTTTCGTTTTTAAGAGGTTGATAGAGTGGGAAGCGTCATTGTTATTTTGTTAAATGCATTGTCGTACCATGCGTAACTATTATGAAGAACTAGTCTTTTGGACGTACGTGATTATGCGAATGTGATTCAGAAAAAAGTTACCATATACAATTTTCAAACCTTGAGATAGGATGAAAACATAAGTCGCACTTTAAGAGGGAATGTTTTGAAACTCGAATATACACTTTCTTTATATGTAAAAATCCAAGAATATATAACATTACGTAAGACTGACAAAAGCAATCATTTTGTCGTATGTCCTTGCTGCGAAAGCACTGATAACTACTGGATAAGCATACACTGTTTATGTAACGTTTTATTCCAAATGCACTTTGCGAAGACGATGCTAATCTGCTAGTGTGTATGCTGTCAATTTAAAAGGCATTCCTTACCGATACATTTGGAAACTATATATGAATAATCATTTTCCTTTTAGAGCCTAATGGAGAATATAGAAAGTTGTTTCCTGACTATTACTGCATAGGTAATTATTCGGTCGTTTTAGAGTTTACGAATGATTCTCGGTGAAATCCGTATTTGGAAAGTTAACAAGACGTGTCGAAGAAGACCGACTTTCGCTTAAATAAGTATAGTCGATGGAAAATTATTTCAGGAACCCTTTATACCTACTTGACGCTCCAAAAGCGACTGATGGCAGCAAAGAGGACTGATGATTAGCATGTTCACCGCACTCACGGACGTAATTCTGGAGATGTCCCTGAGCTTAATGGTGATCCCCTATGGGTGTCGGTGCTCCTATCCCTAAGCATCCGAATAAAGTTCTGCTTGCATATTTTATGCAGCCGATAATGTGTGCGTTTGTTTCGCTAGACAATCCGGCCATACGCCAAGTCTTTAGCTTGGAAGTGCAACGCCTAGAAGGTGAAACCGGGATTAGTAGATGTCGGGCGTAGGTTTCCGGGTTTAGTGATCCCGTTGGTGTTCGACTCCAGTGAAAGAATTTTTTTGCTTTGTCCAATGTACGTCCTGCCAAAATAAAGTTTAGAGAAGTAGCCAATTATTCCCTGACACATTGCTTTGTTAGGGGGCTTTTCTGACAAATTTGAAGGCCTTTCCAATTTGAAAATTCGTCCAAATCTTGGACTTCACGAACAAAAGGCCCAGTTAACCTTTAGAATTAAGCTACTGAAATTGATGATCTATGGTCCATGTAGGCGCCTGAATGTCGTCCAGCCGTCTAATTGATAGTTTCACTTACCGATCAAGCCCAGGTCACTGCGATAATCAAACCTAACTTATTATCAGCAAAAGTTTCTAACCACTAGCTGGTAACTATCACAAAGTTGTCTGTGTGGGCTGCATGCCTTCGGTTTCATGACAGAGCTTAAACACCTACTTCTAGCCCACAACAAAGCCAGATTTGTGCGGAACACTCCTACGTGACTAACAGTTAACACATTTATCAGATCCATATTTCTGCACTTCCTTGCTGGCTCTCTATTGATAAGACAGTCGTCTTTCAAATTTTGCATCACAATTCCTGACCATCAATTTTGTTGAAATTTTTCCTTAATTGCAGATTATTTTGAATATTTTAGCAATCCGTATTGAAGAAAGGTTAACTTGTGCAAATAACCGCATCCGGTTGATATAATTCTTTAAAAGAGCAGAGAATGGTTTCGATGACTTCAGCGCCTTCGCAGATGATGGCAATTCCCGATAACTTAACTTCAGGAGATTTATAGCGCAAATGGACGTGTGCTCACTTAGTGTTCTCTCACGCGCTGCTCTCTAAATTCCGTTAAGATGGACCAGAATTCGTGACGACAGGTAATATATTTTCAGTCAGTTTTTTCACAACTGATCTAGAAAGTCAGGCTTGGTGAACCGAATAACGTATCATGACCTCTGTCCAAGTCAGTTTACTAAAATAACCTCTTTCTTTGATTTAGTCCGAGAAAACGTCAGCTTACCTTTCACGGTCCCTTTCCTCTCATAAAATGCTATCATTCTGATAAACAAAATGCTGTGCTTGGAAGTTTTGATAATGTATTACAATCTGAAGTCTAAATTCGAGTCTTTGACTACGATCCTTCTTCATGCCCATGTCTTATGTCCTAAGGGCTTTAAACGGAAATTTTGTCACTGGTGGTTAGAGGAATAGGAATGACAATCGTTGGTTTCTTTAAAACCATCGCCTATTCATGTCGAAAGGGGGATTCAAAATTGAGTTTAGCGGACCATTGATCTGGTTTTAGTCAAGTACTTCAGTTGCTTCATTGCATTACTCTACCTGATAATCGTCTTGTTGTAATTCAACATAACGTTTAAAACCCAAACAATTGGCCAAGACCTGATATTAAACAAGCCGCCCCGTTGACGCAACGTCGAATGTTCAGAAGCAAAATCCTCCCCAGCCGCTCCCTGTGCTGTACAACAATAGCGGATGAGTATCCATAGCGTCAGCCTTTCTAAACCTGGAACAAAATTATGATCTCAGGTCAGGACTAGTTGCAGGGACCATTCTAAACTTGGGACCACATCCAGCAATTGACTGATATATCTGTCACTGTTTCACCTTGGCCCTGTTTATCCGACCGTCACTTAGGCCCTCCCTGTCACCGAGAAAAGATGGCCATTTGTCGAGAGTGCACACGGGTTCCATGGAGTTATTTGGTGTTGAAAATTACTTCCGCACATCTGGCAGCACAAGATGGGAGTTTGTTTTGGGTCATCTCGGAAGGGGGTAAATTTCTAGTGTAGAAAGACTACTTCCTGAGGATGTGTGCAAGCAGGACCAAAAGGCTGTTCACTTCTGACCCTGAGGTGAGTGTAGGTTATACGAAGGTGGTTTGTTGTACACGGGATATTTCCGTATGCAAAGAGGTTCGCCGGCATGCTGTTCACTTCGAAAGGGCGACGTAAAATGCCAGTGAAGTGAAAGGAAAAAAATGTCTGACTAAAAACTCCATTTCGGAAGGCATTCCCGCAGACAGGATTGCATTGCAAAGAAGATGAACGCGCGATCACTGGGGCAGTACGTGTACTAGTCTCAGCTTTCGCTCTCATACAAGAGGCCACCGTCAGAGCCTGTGAGAATGCGGCGTCAAGTGAGCAATTTCGTAGTCACTAAGAGGGGTGGAATAGGAGTGTAGGGGGTGGTGTTTGCGATAAGACCGGGTCCACGCCGTCTCACGGCGGCGTGACTGCGTGCGTCCTTGGCTGGGAATTGGGTCTCGCCTGTTGGCCGCGGAAACGGAAGTACACGTTCGTTGTAATTGGAAGGAGCAGACTAATTGACTTTCAAGACTCGCTTAACGACATCTTCCCCGAAATTCACTTCACAAAGAAGAGCATGCCAAACAGTGGCCTTTCCTTGATGTTTTCGTCCCACGCACCCCAATGGCGAACTTAGCACAACATTGTATAGAAAAGAGACTAACACGACTGAAATTCTCAATTACCACAGTAACCACCCAATGGCGCATAAACGCAGCTGTGTTAAGGCACACCTCCAAAGGAAAAAAACGCATTGCAGTGAACCGGAGGGACGGGGACGAGAACTATGACATCTTCGGGACCAACTGGCAAGGACTGGATACCCAAACAGCTTCGTCAGCCGCTGCATGCACAAGCACCCACGGCGAACAAACGGAGGAGAGCCGCCAACACTCTGGAACCCTGTACCATATACAAGGACTGTGTCCGAAGCAACGGAATGTATCGCAGGAGAGATCGGCGTGGGTATCGATCACTGTCCGACAGCCACCATGTTCAACAAAATCATGCAAAAGAAGGACCGGCTAAAGGTAGGAGAACAATCGGGTGTCGGCAGAATAACATTATCGACAAAGACAAGGGAGACTGGGTGTCGTTTATCAGATCCCATGCAGACTGCCCTCGTCACTAC